AAAACCACGTGAAAACAACACAGACAATGCCAGAAATGTGCACACACCTATAGTACTTTTATCACTAGAGATAGAGATGGTGTATCTACCACATAATTTAATGAGGCTAGCTGTGCTATGCTAATTAGTTTAACGCTATGGTTTGACTAAAAAGGGAGAGATTAAAAGAGAGAAAAACCAATGACCCACTTGGAGAGAATAGAGTGAACTGACAATGGCATGCCATGATGGAAACGCCTGAGCAAAAATGAAGACACACTAAATTTGCTTAAAAGGGTCTTTGAGCTGTCATTACTGTGCATCAGTGCTGCTGAGAATTTTAATGCATGAGAGCAGAGAGGATGGGAACACAGCCAGGACATGGAGGAGCTATCACTAGAGCAAGGCCAGGAGACATAAGACTAGACAAGACCAATAGAGCATGGAAGCACTGTGTGTCTTAAAGTAATTCATGATTCAAGTCATGATCCAATGTACTGTTATAAATAATTTTATCAACCTAAAATTAATTAATAACTTGAGAATGTGCTTAAAAGTGTCAGTATCAAAATTCACAGCAGAATTGGACAAATTAATTTAGCATAAATAAAAACTGAAAAGCCAAATATTGTCTATATGTCACGTGACAGCATTCATAAATATCGTGCAAATGTATTACTTAGATATGAGAAGTGGGAGGGAGTTATGCTGCAAGTAGGTTGGGTGACCACCAGGTGGGAGGGACTAATGCCACAAGTAGGTTGGGTTTATGGTTGTGATAGGTGTAGATCAGGGGTGTTCAAACTCTGCCCTGGAGGGCCGGTGACCTGCTTAGTTTAGCTCCAACTTCCTTCAACACACCTCCCTGGACGCTTCTAGTATACCTATAAAGAGCTTGATTAGCTGGTCCGGTGTGTTTACTTGGGGTTGGAACTAGAATATGCAGGACACTGGCCCTCCAGGACAGAGTTTGGACACCCCTGGTGTAGATTATAGGTCTCAAACTGGATTCCTAGAGGGCCGCAGCTCTGCACAGTTTTGCTCAAACCCTAATCAAACACAGCTGATCTGACTAATCAAGGTGTTCAAAACTACCAGAGTCTATTAAGCAGGTGTGAGTTGGAGGTAGTTGGAGCTAAACTATGCAGAGCTGCGGCCCTCCAGGAATTGAGTTTGAGACCATTGGTGTAGATGTCAATAAAACAAAACAGGTTGGGTTTAGGGTTGTGGTAGCTGTAGACGTTAATAAAACACAACAGGTTACTGTTAGCTTGGGTTTAGAGTTGTGGTAGATGAGTGGTCCAACCCTGTTTCTGCAGATTTCAGTTGCAACCCTGACCAAACACATCTGTCTGGAATTATCAAGTACTGCTTTAGGTCCTATTAATTGGTGTGTTCATTAGGTTTAGAGCTGAATTCTACAGGGAGGTAGCTCTCGAGGACAGGATTAGTGAGCCCTGGTGTAGATGTCAGTAAAACACAATAGGCTAAACTCCATGCATGTCATGTACAAAAGATTAAATAAATTAATGGAAACTCCACAAGGTTTGTACAGTGCATTTGTGACTCAATCCCACCCACTTGTAGCTGACCTGCCTATTTGGAGCTGGTCCTGACCTCTGTTTATACCTTTTTCATTTAAGCAGTCATATTTTCTCAGATTTTTGAAAAAATTGCATTTCAGAAAATCTAGATTTTTCAGTTGAAAGTCTTCAAATTTATATTAATAATTTTTTTGTGGATTGCTCAAAGTAGTTCAGCTTGTTATACAAAAGAATGCACGATTGCTCTTTTCTCCATGAAGCTATTTCATAATTATCAGTCTTTCAAATGCTAGCTAGCCTATTTAATCCCATACCCATTTATATACTGATTATTGGCTAAAACCTGACTTACTATACTTAGATCTGATGGCTATACCTAGATTGCATACATTTTAAAATGCAAAGCTACTATCAGATCTGGCTAAGCTCTTGCCCTCTTGTATATCTACTCTCTCCTGCCAGACCTCGCCTTTCTACAGCATTAGGTAAGATTTATTACCCAGGGTTCCTGGCTGTTGACGTGAGTGTGATAAAGCATTTCAACAAGATGAGTGTCCCAGTGTGCGTGTAATGATGTTATACCTTCTCTTATCGCCTCCAGATGAACTGTGCGTCTAGCCCCATCCCAGAGGCAGATTACATCCAGGTTGTTTTTATTTTATAACGTTGAGTTGTCCTTGAATCTTTCCACCTCCACCTGGAGACTAGCTACACACAAGCAGAAAATGTCTGGAAGTTTCAATGGCTCCTTGTGGAAGTTGTGACCCTGGACGGAATTGATTAGAATGTTGCAATAGCTCAAATTAACTGGCAAGGCTGGTGTGTCAGTGATATATGACATCAGATTATAGGCACTGCGATTACATGCACCATGTAATAAGGGGCTTTTAAACCCAATGCAGTCTGGGTGGGTTTAAGCAGGCATCCTAATCTTTTATGTTTAATTGTGTTAATAGTTGTTGTAACAGGCTTTCATCTAATTGCAAATTACAATATTAAATCGATAGCATTGTGCTCTATTATCAGTTCTGTGCATGATTCTGCCTATGTAATGTTGCAGTGGTTAGCACATTCTCCTTGCAGCAAATAGGTCTCTGGTTCAAGTCCCGGCTGGGCCAGGTGGCATTTCTGTGTAGAGTTTGAATTTTCTTTTCACGTTCTCTTGGGTATCACATGAATGCACCAGTTTACCCAGCAGTACAGAAACTATATAGGATCAGCATTAAAAAATACTAATTGGTGATTCAGTCCACTGTGGCAACCCCTGATAAATCAGGAACTAGGGATAGGTATCAAGAACCAGTATTATGTTAAACCGGTACATAATTGGGTCGATACTGCACTACTACTTTGTCTCTGTATACTCCGCTGTTAATAACAAATCTGCTTCTTAACATTTTAAATTTCTGAATGATGTCATCAAGTGACCAATGTTTATTCAACATATGTATACTAAATGTTCACAAGTGTATGAAAATCTTCACATACGCTGCTCCCAGAGGCTCCTGGGGACTTCCTGATATTCATAGTGGCTTCCTAAAGCCTGCAAATTGAACACAACATTCAGGAGATCAGGCCGGCATGAGAGAGAATTTGCTAGAAGAAAGTGTCATATTTCATCTAAGATTTTTTTTTTTAAATAGCGCAGTAAAGAATGCTCTAGTGCAAATTGCATTGGTAATCATCTCTCTTTTTTACTTTCTCTCGCTCTAGCTGTAAGTGAAGAGACATAAACACTCTTATTGCTTGCTTTGTCAGGAATATGCATTTCAACTCTTTTTAACTACACCAAACTTAGTATTAGATCACAGGGTGGCCAAAGTAAGGCCCATGGTAAACTTTGGTTTGGCCCACCATTCCATCTGAAAAGAGAGGAAGCATTATGGGGAGTTGGTAGGGCGAATGCCTTTTGACAGATTTAAAATTCAACATTCAGCATTGAATTCCATTGTGTTATAAATGGGATTGTTCAAGTTTTTATAATAGCAAGTTCATATAAAACATTAAAATTGATACAGCATCATTAATTAATATGCTTTGTAGCAACATTATTTTTAAATATTAGCAATGAAATTAGGAAACTACCCATGGCAAAATTAATGTAATACGGTTATAAAATAAGGCACTATATTTAACTTCAGCCCACAGCCCTCAATCAAGTTTGGTTTTTGGCCCTTTAAAAAAAAAAAAAAAAAAAAAAAGTTTGGGCACCCCTGTATTAGATAAAGATGTGCTGGTATCAGTAGTTGCATATGAATCTACCACTTGATAGGTGACAAGCTGCTTTGACACAATCTACATTGTAAAAGCGCTATACAAATAAAGCTGAATTGAATTGAATTGAATTGAATTGAATAGGTCTTACATTTATTTAGTATTACATATATGGTAACATATTATTTTGATGGTCTTTTTGAGTATTAGTAGACTGTCTACTTAATCTGTTGATACTGCTCCTTCAACAAACATTTAACTGACTATAAGAAACATGTCAACTGACACTAACCCTAACCCCAACCAAACTGTCTACTTGTAATCTAATGAGAATTGGTTGGCATTTAGATGCAATGTAACTTAAAGTCAACAAACGGACTATCAAAATAAACTGACCCATATATGACCTTGGAAATGATTTGTGTAGTCAGATTGTAATACAAGTTAAAGAAAACTTTGTCACAAAATAAAATCAATATCAGTTCATGTACCACTCTGCACATATTTGTATGGTTCTCTTATCACTTCAGAGGTTTCTATGGTTTGTTTCATATTTCCAAACAAAAAATTTTAACAAATATTGCTATGATTTATATCAAATACCCTTTACTGAGCAACACAATGTAACAAACAATGTATAGATTCCAAACAAATCAGTTAAAAGAAGTTAAAATCCAAAAACATGTTGATATATAATTTCATTTATTTAAAGGTATAAAGCTTTAATCAAATCTGATTCCTCTGGAACAAATAACAGATGAGTAAGTCTAAATATAGTGGTTGGTCATACGCAAAACAAATTTCATGTCATGCTTTAACTTGCACAGCGCTATAGATTCCACAAGAAGTATCCACCATAATGGTGGGCTCGATGGGTGACAAACGACTGATGAGTCACATATTCGAAATCATGGAAACAGGTGCTATTCTTATAAATACAGTAAGTTAGTCTTCAGTGATGACACTGTGAGAAATGGTGCAGGTGGAGTGATACAATCTAAAGCAGTTGGAGGAGTGCTGCTATCACTAGAACATTTGCTATTACTTTTTAGCAAGTGTAAAATGTCATATAAATGTGGACTATTATTATTTCCCACCTAACAATAATTCTTCTTGTGTTCTTCTGTCGTCTTTATTTAACCTAAATCCAATTGTCATGCAATGCAAAGATGTTCATATATTGCCTAAAAGATGTTGTTTTTGTGTTTGTACTTGCCTTCCTGATCACATCTTCTTAACCTTTTCTCTGGTCTTGATCCACAGCTCGTATCGTGAAGACCAAGCAGTGGTGTGACATGGTGCCCTGTCTAGAGGATGAAGAGTGTGACTTGTTAGTAAATAAATCTGGCTGGACTTGTACACAGCCAAGTGGCAGAGTGAAAACTACAACGGTGAGACATGCTTATTCTCATAATTACTTTGTGAAATAGAGTGCTTTCGAACAAATCAGGGTATTCTAAAAGAAATATCCATTCCTAAGTAATATTCCCTTTGAAATTTATTAGATGTGGAAAATAAGTATTTCAGATGTAAGCAGAATAGTAAAATAGTTTGAGAGGTGACCAGTATTACACTTTCATAAAACTAAAGTTCATAAGCATTGTAACCAAGTCAGCATAAACATAACCAAAAATACTTTCATTCATTCATTCATTCATTTTCTTTTCGGCTTAGTCCCTTTATTAATCTGGGGTTGCCTCAGATTATCCACCACATGTTTTACTCAGCGGACGCCCTTCCAACTGCAACCTATCTCTGGGAAACATCCATACACTCTCATTCACACTCATACACTATGGACAATTTTGCCTACCCAATTCACCTGTACTGCTTGTCTTTGGACTTGTGGGGGAAGCCGGAGCACCCGGAGAAAACCAACGGGAACACGGGGAGAACATGCAAACTCCACACAGAAACGCCAACTGACCCAGCTGAGGCGCGAACCAGCAACCTTCACATTGTGAGGTGACAGCACTACCCACTGCGGCACCGCGTCACCTTAATTGTGACATAATATGTAATAACTACAAAATGTGCACTCTAAGTTAATTGTATTTTAAAATAAAGTGTAATCATCATATATATGTTGCCATCATTCAACATGTTTTATGACTTCTGGTAAATATGATTTTTTAAAATCTTTTTACAGCCTTTTATTACATACAACCAGCTTCATCTCTGCAATTTGCCCTTGTTGACTGTGATTATTTTTTTAAGATTTTTACTCAAACTACTACTACAAACAACTTTTGTCAGAAGTTTTTGAATGTTTAATTATTTGTCAATTTACAAAATCATGGCTACATAATTTCTCCCTCTGAACAAACTGAATAACAAATCAATATACTTGTTAAGTATTACTTTATATTGGTCTTCCAAATGAGAGGAGTGTTGTTGGTTCAGTTCTCTCAGAAGATAGATAGATAGATAGATAGATAGATAGATAGATAGATAGATAGATAGATAGATAGATAGATAGATAGATAGAGTTTGATAGATAGAGTTTGATTGATTGATTGATTGGTTGATTGATTGATTGATTGATTGATTGATTGATTGATTGATTGATTGATTGATTGATTGATTGGTTGATTGGTTGATTGATTGATTGTTTGATGGAAACATACAATCATTTCAATGTAAAGCCGGGGTCACATTGCACTTTTTGCCCCATAGACTTTTTAATTCATGCGCAAGCGAATGCAGAAGACCAGAAACGCAAGGTCATGTGACAAGTTTCACAGTTTGCTGCATCACACAGTTCAAGCTTGGTTAACTCTGACTTCAAAATTACATCATGTCACTGCATGAGACCAATCGAAGATCAAAATATGACCTCTCTTTACATAAATTTAAAATATTGACCGATCGCTTGAATCTTGTTTATTCCTGCCCCTTTTTCCCAGCATCGTATGAAAGAATTGATTGCAGCATAAAAAATTTGGATTTGTCTGATTTTCATTATGATGATTGAAATGTGACTAAACAGTAGTTACATTACATAGGTAAAGTGTGCAGCAAACGCTCATTTAAATGTTGAACTTTAGCTGTGTAATAACACAAATTCAAGCCAGATTCCAACGGGGCATTTCAGACTCCAGTATTCGACATTGTAACTTGACTGCTTTTGAAAGGAGCCCTGGTACTATATGTATTTATCAATAGTAATTAGATCATGCTTAGGACTAATTATGTGAACAGATGAGTGATAGTAACAGTGATGTAGACAATATGTAGAAGAAAAAGGTGGAAATGACAGTTCACTCGTGGCTGCTGTCATCAGCTATTCAATTCAATTCATGCTTATTTTATAGTGTTTTTACAATGTAGATTTTGTCAAAACAGCTTAACATAGAAGTTCTAATAAATTGAAACAGTGTCAGTCCAGTTTTCACACATTGCGTCACTTGTGTATTTTGTGTTTAGATGTATTTGCCTCTTATTTATGTAGGTATTTGTTGTATCCCATCCTCATAACCCACTCTTAAATCATATATAAACTGCATTCTTTCTAAAAAAAAAAAAAAAAAAAGTGTTTTGCTATTCAGCATGGATAAAAGCAGTGTTCCTACTGTAACAATACCTTCTTTTTACGAAATTGCACACTAAACAAACTTGATATAAAGTTGCAAAAAGAAATCTAATATTAAGTTAAAATTTTCTGTGTAAACAAGATTCTGTTATTTTATGTTGGTTTTTTACAAAACATTGTGTGAAAGTAGCCATGTACCATCCTGTGAGGTTACCACCAGGCATCACACACTACAATAGAGAACATTATGTCTGAAGGAGGATCTTTTGCTAAGGTTGTTGAATGCATTCTTACATTCAAAAGCAGCTAGACACATGCAGTGTAATAATGGAAAAGAATACAAGGGTCTGAAGTCATGTTTTTCAAAGCTAAACAATTGTTAAGCTTGGCTTAGTCTATTGAAAATGTGGTACTCAAGAGGCAGAAAGCTGAGATGTAACTCAGTGTTTAAAGACTGAAGTCTGCTTCTGTGTTCACTGACTAACTTTTTAAACCAACTTGTTTTTTGTCAAAGTATATTTAAATTTTGGTTCAAACCATAAAATTGAATTTAATCTAAATCAAAAATATTTATTGTTATCTAGAAAAAAAAAATTTACAAAAAAATTGTATATTGTTTATATATTTATATAGTATTATATATTTAAAGTTGAAGTAAGAATTATTAGCCCCCTTCGAATTTTTCTCCTTCTTTTTAAAATTTTTTTTCCAAATGATGTTTGGAATGATGACTCTGCTAATGATATTAAGTGCAGCTCCTGAATCAATCATTGCTGTTAAATCAAGACAAACAGCATCAAGGACTGGTGGCGTGATTGATTTATTGCTGAGTACTGAAAAGTGGGCCATATTTACCTTGACATGGCTGCTGCTTTTATGTGGACATCCGAAGCTTCAATGTCCATTTCCACCACAATAAAAACACAGTTTGAGGCGACGTCTCCATTCTCTCTCCTCTTTAGGTACTCGTAAAGCATTTACTTGCATAGGCTCATCCCGACTATTTTATTTAATGGCATGAAATATTGGGTTAACTCTTGAATGTTGATATTTCTTCTGTGTTGAGGTGCTTGTCTCATGAGATTATCAATTCCAATGGTTAATTTGACAAATTTAGAAAAAGATAAGTCATCATCTTTGCAGGCCAGCTCCGTCTGAAGCCCCTCATTCAGACTATGATGAAACATTGCTTTTAAAGCCACATCATTCCATCCGCTCTGAGCCGCTATTGTTCTAAATTCAAAAGCGCAATCTGCAGCTGATCTTTTTCCTTGTTTGAGGTTAATCAATTGGGTGGATACTCCCTTTCCTCCATATGTGTATTCAATCACTTCACGGATCTGGTTAGTGAAATACTCCAATGAAGTTTTTATTTGAGCATCCGAATCCCATAGTGCTGCGGCCCAGTCAATCGCTCATCCAGTCAATAACGCCATTAAAAATGCACATTTCTTTTCCTCTGAATCAAATTTCTCACTCTGGTGCTCCATATAAATCTTAACTTAGCATAGAACTTGGTATGAACTTGTTCACTTGGCATGAACTTGGCCTTTGCATTGCTCAGCAGGGGCATCAAATTTATCGGGAATAGCAAAGCTTACCGTTCTTGGCGTGGTAGGAGGTAGTGACCGGATATAATGTATCAGGTGTTCGTTGACCGACTGTAGTTGCATCAATCGTTCCTAATAACCCTTTAAAACTTCACTTTGATATGCAACTGTAGGTTGGAAACTTCCGCTGAATTTATGGTTGGTAAAGTATTCTGTAACAAGGAAGCTGAGGCTTTGTTTGAATCCATGTGTGGAAGTTTATTAGAAGGGTGAGACGAAGACATCAACGTATTAACAGGCAAATGGTTGGTAACAGGAAAGCAGTCCAAACTAAGCGACAAGCAAAGGGGCAAATCCAGTAGATGTAGTAATAAAGCAGGCAGAGGATCAGTGCAACAACAATCAGTCCAAAACAAATCAGGGGGGCAAAGACAGAGAACGTATGTGGTCAAGGCAGACAGGGTCATACACAGGAATGGAATCAAGAAAGTCACATGGAACAATGCTTGATATGACAGGTAAACTGGCAATACTTTGCAAGGAAGCATGCCCTGAGTACTCACTGAAATACAGCACAAAACATAACTCACCCCCGCCACTCAGGTACATCGCACGCACACGCCTCCACCGGTCTTCAGATAGACTACATATCTGGAACTGGAACCGCATTCAGACAGGCAAGTCCAACAGATTCAAACAGGGCAAAACAAATCACCGAGGAGATCGGCACATTTATAGCTGTAGATATGAGAGACTTTCGGGTTTAAAGAAAATGTTAAACGTAGCCCTGTTACATTATTCCTTCATAAGCCCATTTCAGTCAGATAATTCCTGCTTTCAGATCCACTGAAATGGCAGGTGACAGTCAAATCATGCAGATTTGTGCTGTCTGAAGAAAAGGTGGACACTCATCTTTCTGAAAATAAAAAAGAACACTTAAAAATAGATTGAAACTGAGTTCCATATAAAAAAAAACTAAATTAATATTTTTCTTTTTATTTGTTTAACTACAATATTACATTTATTTTTTTATACTCAATTTGGTTTTGAGTATAAATAAGGATTTTTTTATTTGCTTCTAAGCAGAAACCCCAGACGTATAGCTCTAAAACTGTTTAAAGTAAATCTCCAGCAGAAAAGATATCCAAAGATGACGTTTTAAATTGTATTGAAATCTGTGTTTTAGAAACTAATGAAGATAGCAGACGTTAATGATTCATTTAAATTATTTAGCCTGTTTACTGTTTACCAAAATATTTTAAATGTTTCTTAAAATAAGATCTACTGTGTTCAAAGTGGAAAAACAAAG